TGACGTTTTTCATACTTATCGTAAGGCCATTTTTTACAAACTGAATTGTCGACGGACTTTTCTGGTAGTTTCCGACCATGACAAAGAGCACACAGCTTACATGTATGTGACCGGTCGGCAGAGGATTTTCTCTCCTCCATTACACCTGATCGTCCCTCTGATATTTTGAATATATATGTGTGTTAGCTCTGCTCCAAATTTGAATATTTGTTTAGGGACCTTTGGGCTTGAATACTGTTTGTTATCTCCAAATATTTCATATTCTACCTCATTAAGAAGTTGAACAATTTAAACAAATTTTTAGATGAAGATATTAATGTAACAAAATTCTTTTCTTCACAATTTCTTACCCAAATTTTGAACACATTCCACCACTCAAAATTTGTTTTATTGCATTTGGTAACAAAACAAGGATAAAGTAATATTTGATAATCAAATGAATTATAAAAGCGGTCCTTTTAAAATGCAAGTACGCTGTACATTGTGAACTCTTATTAAAAACAAGGAAATGTTGCCTCTATTTCCTTGAACACCTAAAAACTTTTTCATGTGCTTGAATAGATAATTAAATTTAATGCAATGTTTGAAGGGAAAACGGCACAAACTTTTTGCAAATATTCTGAGTCATTTCCCAATATCAATTTGTAAGGTGTTTTAATTGAATCGATCCTCACATTTTATTAACGACAAATATATTAAATGATACTCTCTTGTGTGTATATAACGTTCATAAAGACTGTTGAACTTTCAATAGAAGTTAGAATACAGTCAAATTAGACTGTTTACACACAGAAACTAATGATTAACTAAAGCAAATAGTAAAAAACGAAAGAAAAGTAAATAATTTTTGTAAATACACATGCATTCAAAATGTGAACCAAATAAAATTTTTTGGTAACTTTTCAACAATTAAACAATATTATCAAAATATTATTGTTTTGGTGTAGCTTTTGGATTTACAGACAAACTTTGACAGTCTTTGTTGTTCTCATCGCTTCTTATTAAAAAAAGATAAAGTCCCTAATAAATATAATTTAGAGAACGTATTATAATTTAATGTTTATTTACTCTAAATGGTATGTAATGTAATTAAGATATGAACAAATAAGGATATAAATTCCCCAAAGTTTTGACTTAAAGCAAACATTTTGTTAATAAAAATATAAAATATATGAAAATGATGGCTTTGACTCCATGGGACACAGGGAAACACAGAGAGAATATATTAAATTAAATTAATTAAAGAAAAAATGATGTAAAAAATCGAATGCAATTGATGATATTTTTGCATTTTAAAACGTTTTTTGTCTTTCAAATGCTCATTTCGCCAACCGGATTTAATAATTTTTTCAAATAAATGTCATTTTTATTATTTGTAATTAACTAAGATAAAATAACCATTTTGAATGGTAAGAATATAAACACCAAAGAAAAAAAAAACAAACAAAAATGAAATTGTACATATGCTATATCAACATACGATAAGCTAAAGTCCTCTCTAATATCAGAAGAGTAACAAGAGGCCCATGGGCCTTATAGGTCACCTGAGCATCATGCAACAACTTTCAAATGATTGAATTTGGTTCATGTTTTTAGCTAGATGCTATGGCATTCATAATTTTGAAAGAGGCACCATTGCTCATAACTATACACTTAGCAAATGTTTAGTTTGTTTACTTAATACCCTTACGAAGGGTAAGGGAACAAAAATGCATGTCAACTAATCAGTAATACTCAGCAATAATCAGGAGTGCCCCTACCACACATGAACCCCTGACCCTAGGTTTTTGATAAACTTATCAAAAATGTTTGATTAATACCAAGGAGAAGATTTCAAACAATTCATTTTTAGTATATAAGTAGAGCCGCCCCCCCTACCTCTTTGGTATCCCTGACCCAGGGGCCTTGAAATTCACAATTCTGGAAGATTAGGGTCCTTGCACATCACAACTATATAAATAGTTTATCTGTTTATTACCCAGGAGTAGAGAAAAAGATTTTTATAGATGTAATGTATTTTCACTACATAATCATTATAGAGCCACACCTTAACACCAGAACCCCTGACCCTGGGGACATAAAATTCACAATTTTGGTAGAAAAACTCTTGCTAAACATAACTATGTACTTAATTAGTTTATTTAATACTCAGGAACAGAAAAAAAAAAGATTTTCAAAGAAATAATGCATTTTCACTATATAATCAATAGAGCCCCGCCCTAACACCATAACCCCTGTCCCTGGGGCCATAAAATTTACAATTTTGGTAGAGGCACTCTTGTTCATCATAACTATGAACTTAATTAGTTTATTTAATACCCACGAGCAGAGAAGAAGATATTCAAAGAATTAATGCATTTTCACTATATAATCAATAGAGCCCCACCCTAACACCAGAACCCCTGACCCTGGGGCTATGAATTTCACAATTTTAGTAGAGGACTCAATGCTGATTACAATCATACCAACAGTTTGATGTTTGATGCCCAGGAGTAAAGAAGAAGATTTTTAAAGATTGCACTAATTTTAGTGGTTTTTGCCGCATCCCCCAGGCCACAGGGGGACAGGGACCATGAAATTTACAATTTTTGTTCCCCTTCATCTACAGATGCTATACTAGTATGCCAAAATAAAGTTGAAATTGGTTTTGCGGTTTCAGAGAAGAAGCTGAAAATGTTTAAATGTTAACGCACGACGGACGACAGACGACGACGGTCGAAAACGGATAGCAATAGGTCACCTGGGTTTACTCAAGTGACCTAAAAATGTCAATAAAACAAAATAAAAAAAATAAACAATTTATTGTCTTTTAATTAAAAAAGGAGTAAACAACATATATTTACAAGTTCTGTGTATTAACGATTCACTCACTTCTAAATAGTATTAAAGAGGCTGGGGGTGGCAGCCATTTTCAGACTATTTTGATCTCCTTAAAAGAAGAGCTCCATATAAAGATACACAAAAATAATCAAATTTTAAAGCTAAAATGTATGAATTTTTTCTTTGACAAATGGTAGTTGACAGCTTAAGATATCATATCTAATAAAAATCAGTTAAATCTGGTGGTTATTTTGTGGTTAATTTGTTGACCCCAAAGCCTCCTTAAAATGACTAGAAACTACATCATTGTGATCATAGATAAGTTTAAAATATAATGTGTTTTCTTGAGGTACATGTATCAACCAGGCCAGTAATACCTCAGGTGTGCTCCAATCTCACTAAAAGATTTTGAAGACAGAATGTTTATTTTTCTGAAGAAGAAAAATTATTTCAACTTGTAAACACATGTTATATATATGTATGTAATACATGTACGAGGGTTGTCCGTAAAGTTCGTGGACAAGCTAAAATCTAAATAAAATGATGTCATTGATATTCATTATTAATATATTTACCATCTTTACTTAATGTAGATTAAAAAAATTTGAAATTATGTTAAATTCTAAATATATATTTTACAATTAAAGGTTCATTATTAGACTTGGGATTGTGACCCGAAGCACCGTAAAATTTCAATTAAAAAGTTATTTATCACCTTATAATTTTCATTTGTATTTTGTAAAATTCCGCGGCAATTCGGATTGCTTTTACATAATGAGGTTGAAAAAAGATATAACTTCAAACCTGCAAAAGTTGAACGTTCAGAATTAAGAAATGGCTGAGAAATCGAGGTTAGAATCTATGAGGACGGAATCGGCATGGTTCGAAAAAGGGACGTTTTCGGAAAAGGTGGAGCAGAGAGCAGTGATAAAATTCTGCGTAGACATCGGGAAAACACCTAGAGGGACACATAAATGCTGTAAGCAGTCGGGAAAATATCGTAAAGGAAGCCATTTTTAAGTATTATATGGAATATAAAATTTTCGGACGGAAAAAATAGTTTACAGTATGACGTGAAGGAAGGAAGATTACCATTCCGAGATTGCAGTACTGTTGAAAATGAATTTCACAACATGACTTTGCCGTATTTCTTTAAATAAAGTTGTTTTTAAGCGGACAAAGGTTTCAATTGATGATTTGCAGGATCTGAGACAGGAAGAGTTAAATATTTCTTTTCATATGAAATCTGAACAGTTTCTACACATTTTTGATGACTGGTTAAAACGACATAAGTAATGTATTGAGTTAAACGGTGACCATGTTGAGAAAAGTTACATGATGAATTAAGCTTTTGACGTCAGGTAACGTCAAGGATTTTCGTTTTAGTGCTCCGGGTATGAGTGTGTGTCTTTTTTGTATCTGATAAAAATATAACTATTTATGCTTTGTTTTTGCTTAAAATTTGCATACGTAACAAATGAAACCTTAATTTAATGAAAATAATAGTTTAAGATATTTTATCAATGTTTGGCAGTACTTATCAATGTTGTCCACGAACTTTACGGATAACCCTCGTACATATCATATTTCTCTTAAGTTAGCTAAATGTTTATTTTTTATTACTTTTAAAGACTATATCTTATTTTAGTGGGTGTACTGGGAGGGGGGGTTAAAACTGCAATCTTACACACTTAAACATTTCCATGTCTTCATCTAAAACAAAATTTCAAATAAAAAAAAATTGATTTTTATATAAATCTTCTGATTCATCGATAGGGACAGGGTGAAACAAAATAACGTGAGGGGCGAGACAAACAGAGACAGAAGCGGGGCTTGTAATACGTTGATTTGCGGAATGGAGAGCATGAAAAGGAATGACTGTCAGATATTTTGGTTTCATGACGAAAAGTCAGAATTGATTTAAAAAAAAAAAAACTTTTGTTTTTATGCCAGAAGTACCTAATCTCCTCTGACTGAAGACTAATCTCAAGTCTTATTATTTTTCTTCTTTTTTTTATCTTCGTATCACTTTATTGCATATCTAATTTAAAGTCTTTTATTAATTACATCTACCATTAATCATAATAATCTTAAATAACGTTATTATGCTTACTATAGGACTTTACTGTACATATACTTGTATTGCTCACACTTCTTTTTTTATAGAACTTTACACTAACCTGTTGAGGTCTTCTTATTCCCATGTGTGACAGCGGATCATGGTGAGAATCCTGAACATTCCTTAATGCTTTAAATGCCTAGAAATGCATTTGTTTTCATATAACTGTTTGAAAGATGATGTACTACCTTTGAATTGCACTGTATCAAAAGAAGAATGTTTTTAAAAGAATAACACAAGAAATACCGGGGTATGGAATATATCATTTTTTTTTTTTTAAATTTAAGATTTCTTTATTTATTTAAAGTTGTAGTTTTTCAATTATAAAGGAAAGTCTAATGTATCACCTCGCGTGTTACTTTTATTGGACATTTATGAGCTATCCATTGAACAGTTTCAAAACATGGAGGTGTGGTTAAGGATCCCTTATACGTATAAAATCTACGGTATGGGGAGGACGTCTAGAGGTGATATTCCATATACTGAGACCTTTGCATGTGAAGATGCACCTTTCCTTATACAGTGTTCTTTTATGAAATGTTATTTAAGTTTTTCTGGATGACATGGCGGTTCTACAAGAGTTTCGATCTTTTCTGTTCAAACAGACATTCTATGCAAATAGAAACCTTTAAGCTGTTTGACGAAATGAAAATAACCTATATAACATTACTGTTAGTAAACTTTTTAATGAAACAGACAACCTATACTAACGATAAAGAAAGCGTAAGTTTAACTGTGTAATTAACATTCTCTGCAGATCATTTTTTTCATAATCAATGTTATTTGATACTTTATACGTATGTACATGTATACAAAATGACTTACGTATTTCTCGTGTCTCTATTGTATATCCTTTACCATTATACATCCTTATTTTCCTGTAGTATGTAGTCATTATTTCACTCAGTGTTTTTTCAAACCTCCATTTACTACGACGATGCTAAATAAAAAAAAATGTTTAGCATATTATGAATCTATATATACAAAAAAGGAAAGATTTCCGATTTAACAACTACTTTTACAAAATGCATTGTAAATATTTGTACAAGTAAAAGTTTTACAATACCCCTTTGTAGCGTCCTCTGTTGTAATAACGTGCATAGTCCTCGTCGTGTCCTTTGTTACAAATCATTAAAAGAAATAGTTTCTGATGAATTGATGTGTGTAAACAAAGAATAAAAAAAGCTAAATGCATCTAGCTCACCTGATCATGAGTGAAGACTCAAACGGGTTTTTAAATAAAATTTATCCATAGTCGTTAACTTTAGGATTTATATTTTTCCAGAACCACTCGGTCAATTTTCGACCTAACGTGTCAAATGCATTCCCAAAATCAAATATTTTAATTAAGCAACACGCACTCATTCAAGGAGGGAGGACCTTGATTATAAATAACAAGTGGATATTTGATGGAAAGTTTTAAACCTCTTCTCAATAACAAATGGGAAAGGTCAAAAGAAAGAAAAGAGAAGAAGCTTTATTGCCATTTTTACGAAGCTATTCCCCCGGCTGGGTAAGAGCGCGACTATAACAGTCGATGAAAGTCTTACATTGGACTATATAGGAAAACTTCTTTTAAACAATCTCCTTGTCAAGAATAAAAATTTAATATCAATTCATTTTGTAAGGTACATCCTCCTATTCAATGAGGATTCAAATTGTTTAATCTAGAGGGGAGATAAGGCTGTATAGGGAAATCAAAAACTTTATAAAGGAAAAGAAAGGACAGATCTTGTTACATATTCTTAAAAGATTCATATTCATATGGCAGCGTTGTCATGAAGAATAGACTCATGTTTATTCAAATCATGACACTTAAGGGTATGAAAAGCCACATCAGTCAACTACATGTATAGTTTTAAATCTAATTTTATCGTTAAAAGTGGACGCCCCTTGCAATATGGTTAAAACTTTTACTTCAGAGTCGCGGTGTGGGGTGTTGATTCTTACATTGTATGTATCAGACTCAATCCCTAAACAAGGATGTGAAGTTCAGTCCTTCGGAGGTCCCATGTCAAAGTAAGTGCAAGAACAAACAAATAAATCTCTTACTGCTCATTAGCCCGAAGGTCTTGGTTCAAATCTAAATTCGAAGCTCTCCACCTGCATCTGATTAGGAGTGAAAAATTTTCGATGGGCTCTTAAACTAATAATCAGCAAACATGTGGAGGCTTCCTCAGCTTGTTTCACATGAGATTTTTTTCAAATGTAGCAAAACCATAATTAGTCATTTAAATAAGTAAAAATTATCTAAATTGTGTAGAATTTTTAAATGTTGATACCAATAGGAGGATCGTAAACAATCTTGACATATCTTCTAAAAAAGAGAAAAGCAATGAAAAGACCTATATTAATACCCCGTCCTCTTTTTACATGGTATATATTTCAACCCAATAATTGGACCAAACATATTTTTTACAAATTGCCTAAATATTGTTTTAATGGATTACTCATCTGATAACATTAATTTACAAACGTCTTTATGGTCTCTTATATGTCCTTGCTCATCATCTTCTTCCTCTTTATATTTGTCATTATTATGCTGCACCTTAAAAAATGATAGATGATATATTATTTCAGCTAAAAACCAAATTTAAAATTTTACAGCTGTATAATGAAATTAGAGTATCATTAACAAAAAATATCCCCTTAAATATATATCATACTAATTAATTTTATCTGTTTATTGCATTTTGAACATTTTGTTTATGGTAAATTCCAAAATATTAAATGTATCCACCTTGATCATTATCGATAAGACAACCAATCCTTCTGGCCTGAATTCAGCGTATGTTATGTTTTGTACCTACTATCATAAAACACCGAGTGAGCCTGAAAGAAAAAAATACCATATGATAACTTATAAAATCCATTTCATGCATTAAAAGAGAAATGACTACCCATTTGTGCAATATAAAGAAAAAACCGTTAACTTGTGTTTTTTTTTTTTTTACAAAAACGATAATCTTATGCATCTAACGCTGTTATGTTATTAAGGTCTTCCGTCTTCAGCGGAAGACCTTCTTGTTTTTCTTAGGTTTCTTTTCCACTATTTTTATTATTGTTTTTTTTCTTACCGATTTTGTGCGCGCGATTTCTCGAGAACGGCTCGATCGATTTTTATGAAACTTTCAGGTCTGATAGAACATTAAAAGATCTAGATACATGTATATATTTTTTAATTTTGATGACATCACTTCTGGTTTGGAATTTTCTGCGATTTAGTGAATTTTAGAGGGTCACTTTGTCCGGCAGTTTTCTCAAAAAGCACTTAACAAAGAAGCATGAAATTTTCAGTGATGCTAGAACAATCTTTGGAGAACTGCACTAAGTATTTCATAACTACCGGATGTACGAAACGCCGAAAATAGTCCTAACGTAAAATTCTAAATTTCTGACACTTTTTCTTCGATATCTTTTTACCTAGAAATATTTTGTTAAAGTTTATAAAACAAAAGAAGTGTAGAATTACATGATCTTTCAAATGATATCTAGAAAAAGGGGCTGGCCCTTATAATTAAGGGCCGCGAGGGGCCGAAAGTTTTTTCTTAATATCTCAAAAAGTATTGAGAATTTGTAATACATCAAAGAAGCAAAGTTGTTCAAAATGTCAAGCTCAATTTATTGGCGTCATCAAAATACATCCGGTGACGTCACTTCCGGTTAATCCGGAAGTAGTCAGAAAATGCATGTTTTTGCCGTACTTGACATGTTTTTGGGTAACATCTGTCAATGGGAGCATAAAATTCAATTTTCTGTCCGTCGTCGTCACTTCT